GTTACTTTCACTTGAATAAATATAGTTTACCCTTTTACCTGTATTGATATAATTTATCTGTTACTTTTACCTGAATAAATATAGTTTACCAGTTACTTTTACCTGTATTGATATAATTTATCTGTTACTTTTACCTGAATAAATATAGTTTACCTGTTACTTTTACCTGTATTGATATAATTTATCTGTTACTTTTACCTGAATAAATATAGTTTACCTGTTACTTTTACCTGTATTGATATAATTTATCTGTTATGTTTACCTGAATAAATAACTATATATATATTAAATATATTAACTCGTATATTTTCATTAGCTTCACTTATGCACTTATGATCACACTATTAGTCCGTGTTTACAATACAGTTCCACTTAGCAGTCATACATACACACACACACATAATCCTATTTTTACATACAAAACCCATTTAAAATAGAGCTACGTTTGTGTCTAGGATTCAGTTAACCTAGCACTGTTTGGTCAGTAAGATTCTTATTTATGATGTTTAGAGGGGAGAGGTACTTAGGGTTTGGTTCATCATGTATTATGTAACTCTCTAGTTTGACCATTAATTAATGTTTATTAATATTTTTCTTATAATATTGAAGCGAGTTATCTAGGAGTCTGTCTGATAGAGTTGGCATGTTTGAATAGTTGTGTAGAAATTCTGACTTGTTGATCGTGGGACTCTGTATGCTTTCGTTAAAATATAGTTTACATATTTATTGTGGTTTGGTTTGAATTTCCCGCAAAGCTACGCGAGGGCTATCTGCGCTAGGCGTCCCTAATTTAGCGGTGAAAGACTAGAGGGAAGGCAGATAGTCAACACCACCCACCTCCAACTCTTTGGCTACTCTTTTACCAAGAAATACTGATGTATTATGTTGGAATGATAACCAAAATCTTGTCTTGGATCGGGTCTGAATTTTGAAATTTCAAGATGTTATATTAAGGTGTGGAACTGTTAAAAAGTGTCTCACTATACATCATCATGATGTTATACTAAGGTGTGGAACTGTTAAAAGTTGTCTCACTATAAATCATCATGATGTTATACTAAGGTATGGAACTGTTAAAAATTGTCTCACTATACATCATCAAGATGTTATACTAAAGTATGGAACTGTTAAAAATTGTCTCACTATACATCATCAAGATGTTATATTAAGGTGTGGAACTGTTAAAAGTTGTCTCACTATAAATCATCAAGATGTTATACTAAGGTGTGGAACTTTTACAAGTTGTCTCTCTACTGATCATCAAGATGTTATATTAAGGTGTGGAACTGTTAAAAGTTGTCTCACTATACATCATCAAGATGTTATATTAAGGTGTGGAACTGTTAAAAATTGTCTCACTATACATCATCAAGATGTTATATTAAGGTGTGAAACTGTTAAAAGTTGTCTCACTATACATCATCAAGATGTTATATTAAGGTGTGGAACTGTTAAAAGTTGTCTCACTATACATCATCAAGATGTTATATTAAGGTGTGGAACTGTTAAAAGTTGTCTCACTATACATCATCAAGATGTTATATTAAGGTGTGGAACTGTTAAAAATTGTCTCACTATACATCGTCAAGATGTTATACTAAGGTGTGGAACTGTTAAAAATTGTCTCACTATACATCGTCAAGATGTTATACTAAGGTGTGGAACTGTTAAAAACTTTCTCACTACAAATCATTATTAAGCCACATGAAAGTGTGAAACTGGTAGAATTTTCCTATTACTGATCATGATTATGTCACATCATGGTGTGAACCTGATAGATGTTCACTCCCTAGAAATCATAATTGTTCTATATTACAGTGTTCAATTGATAAAAGTTTTCTCATTAAAATAACCATTATGTCAGAGTGTAAAAGCTGACTACAATTTTCTGCACATCACTATTATGTTATATAGAAATATTCTCGCTACATATATATCATTAATAAGTTATATCACAATTTATAAATTGATAAATGTTTTCACGCTACAGATCCTGATCATATTACACTGTGAATCTGATAAAATTGTTATCGCTACAGGTCAACATTGCGTTGTTATCGCTACAGGTCAACATTGCGTCATATCACGGCGCGAAATTGATTCAGACTTTCGCGACTCCGTTTCATATTCAAAAGAGAATCTCGTGTGTATAGTATCATCAAATGAAGAGCACAGACTAGCTCTATTAGATCGGAATAAATTAGATACCAAAACACGTCGAGAGAACAAAGTTTTGTATAATCAACAAGAGAAATACACCAATGGACTTTACATATGACGTAATTCAAAAAAAAAATTATCGTGCTTTTAATAGCGTTTATATAAATAAAACCGTCCAGTTATTTAAACACAATCTGTATCAATCAAGTCGACGTGTGTTTCATATAGGGTAGAACTGCGCATGCTCTGTGATGCTTCGATCCCTTTCAGTCTATAAGAGAGCCGCCCAGCTGAATCTGAATGCATGTTCTCTACCCACTGTGTAGCGTTTACTTCTGAAACTGAGAGGCTTAATGTGTTTACGGGCTTCTGGACAGCCACCAACTGAAAGTTAGGCGATGTGATCTACAGAGAATCGTTTTCCACACATATCAGAGATGTCCAGCTGGGTCAACTATCTTGTCTACTTTGTTCTGTTGGGGGACTATTGCTCTCTAACAGGTAAGAGGCCATTGAAATGGAATTATCTTTTTAAATTATGTAGCGGAAAGCGTATATCAGTAACAATTGATGATTAGAGAAAATTCGATTATCTTACGGATAAAAAATGTCAAGTTCTTACTTTATAATGTTTGTTTATCTGGGATTGTTTGTTTGTTTTTTTTTATTTCGCGCAAAGCTACACGAGGGCTATCTGCGCTAGCCGTCCTTAAT